AAAAGCGGTAAGGTTAGCTGTTGGAAAAAATTGGCTCTATATGACGATGAGACGATTGCTTCTGCCTAAGCATACGAAGGCTTTAAAAAAATAAAGCAAGATTTCACATCGTGTCTAGCACATGGGATCCTTACGTGGTACTTGAATCGAAATCAAAACAAACTGGTAGAAAGTTAGGCATTTGGACTTCTAGCTCTTCCATTTTCTATGAATGGATAGATTTTTCTTATTCAAATTACTCGCTTCAATTTTATTTATAAAGAGTAGTCTTTCTCATTATTTATCCAACCATTGGCTGCGGAAAAATTATTCTTAATCAGGAGCAAAAGGTGACACTAACGCCTTGGAGCTGTTTTCTCTAACAACTTTGAAGCTCTCGTGGCCTAAGCTTTAACTGTGTGTTATTCTTGAGTGCCATTCCGCGTTGTAATGGTCTGAGTATACAATTTACCGCAGTGTTCCAAATATTATCGGCATACGTCATGTTGACCGGAGTTTTCGGAAAGTATAAAAATAATTACCTCACAACAAGCATATAGGCAGTGGAAAATAATTTCATAAATTGTTGCGTTAGAAGTGGCTATGTATTTTTTTGTTGCTTGATAGGAGTAAGGGGATGCAAAAGCTACCTAAACTGACATAGCTGGGGAACTTCAAATTAAGTATTGGATGATGTTTCTAGAAATATTTGCGATTTCTCCAGATCATTTAGGCAAGTTCAGGCCTACAACTGAGGAATTTTCACCACCAGGGAAAAGAAACCAGCTCACCACTGAGTCACTACGCGGATTTTTCTTAAGAATCATGCTCAGTTCCCTCTATCAAGTAAGATGATTGACGAACGCACAACAAATTTCAACCGGTAATTTGGGGGCTTACTGCTTTTCTGAACTCTTTAGTTAAACAAAAACTACAACAGATCGAGAGGAATCTGCCATAGTTGTCACTACACTTATTCTTATTTGATACAGAATGAAGATCAGGTTCAACATTGGTGATCAAGAGACTCATCAAAACCTAGATTCCTTTCATACCTCTACTTCTCCGTTAGAATAGATAGAGAATCGGCTTATTAACTTTCCGGGAGTCTCATGCTAGATGGGTCGCCTGGTACGTTATATACTTTCAATCGTGTAATTCGAGAGCAACTGATTATAAGAATTGATCTTGTTTACCAAATACACCACCCTAATTTGCCAACCTCAATCTGAGTCTTTCATAGACTCTCCCTGTGACTCACACATCCTGAGTTCGGATCTCGTCTATACCCTATGTTTGTTCTCCAAAATTTAGATAGTTAGTTTCCCATAGCAATACTAACCTCTTGAGAAATATTTCTTGCCACGAGATGTATACTTACAATCAGTTGCCTTTCTCTAATGTTTGTATGAAAAGAGCCCCGATGCCTGTAAGCACTGTCTGACACTTTCTCACATATCTCCTCCATCTCTTATAGAGATATTATTTTTCTCGTTCACAATGCCGTTACCATTTCATAGCTTCGGTTGCATATCTCACCAAATGCCCAGTGCCCGATATACCAGCCGAATTCATTAAATCAAGGACAGCCCGGGGTCGTTTTATTACCTCACTCCGAGCAACCGTCCGAATATAGTGCCTTCGACCTCAGTCTGTGCCCAATAATTCTTTTCCCTGTCGCCTCCTTGTTTAACTTCCACTTGTTGATTCTCTTCACTTGGGGCAGACTGGCTAAGCTAAAAGTCGTTCTCTTCGTTCATTTGCGCACTCATCACACTTTTCGTGCCCCCCGGACGCTCCTCGCTCATACTCATACTCACACTCGCGTTCATACACACGCATACATGTGCATATACCACTGTGCAATATTTCATTATCTTAACCATCGCTTTGTACCTGCGAGCATAACGGTACACTTATTCCCATCTCGACCCATTTCTCCACTATGCGATCGAGCCACGCACGAGATATTTTGATATGCCCCATCGTTTGTTGTTGCACAATTCGAGTCGCCTGTTACCTCGCCTGTCCTTCCCCTCGAAGACACTTTCTTTAACGATTTTGCTTTATCTTCGCCTCGTCTCTTCTGCTATTCGCCCATTCATTCTTCTTCCATTCTTCCGCCTAGTCACGCTTCTGCTTCCCTGTTGATCCACATTCCTGAATTCCGCGTCCTTACACGTTTTTATTTCTATCTCACTTTATCCTCTCTCTTTAATTGACTACCTCTTTCATATACATTTTTTTCTATTTCACACACATTTTTGACTATCCAATCCTTCGCTCAATCCACTCCTATGGCCTACTCACTTAATTCAATCATCATCTCATTTGGTTGCATTCACATTTCTTCTGTATCTATCATCTTCTTTATTATATGATTTTTCATTTGTGTTGAGCCTCCTGCGTTCGGAACGCTTTGTTGTGGCCTATTCTTTCGCCATCTATTGATGAGCACAACCCCATTTCTTACCTTTCAGGATAATGTGAATTGTTTCTTCTCTTATTTACCCACTTTTCATCTTGTTCCTATTGCCTATTGCTGAAATAACTTACCTGCCTTGCATGCATTCCTCTATTCATATCGCATTTGTGCCATATTTGACTCTTGCTTCTCCTCATTTTCGCTCGTCATTTGGTCACCATTATTGGTCTGCTTCTATGGTGCCGGTGTTGCATCCTTCTTCTGGCTTGCCCGACTTACCTGTTATCGAATTCAGACTTGCAAGTCTTTCGCAAGACTTGTATTTAGTCGGCCCACCCTTTATTAATTCCAATCGTTTGTTGCACGAATCTTCTAGTTCTCTCCACATTTTTCACCTTTTTCGCTTATTCTTAGGCATTCACATATTTTCTAAGCTTCGCATTTCTTATTCCACTATCTTTTTGCCATTTTCACACCAATTACTAAAAATGTACTCTTTTGAACTCCCAAAAATATGTGTATTTATTCGTGTCCATGAGAACAAATTAGTAGGTGAAGTTCTTTTTGTCTGGATTTATGCTAGTCTATTTGTCCATCCATCTTTTTCTGCACTACCTTTTTAAGCATTGCAGAGCTATAATACTTTTTATTCCCCGATTCTTTCTGAGACCGATGTAACTTCGTACCCGGATGTCTTTGTTTGTTGCATCACCAAAATCCACCCTCCAGCTTGGTGATGCACAATGATTATGCAGTAGGCATTATTTATCCCTACTATTCCACTATTCTCTTTTGTGTTCTATTATCCCGTCATATATCACATTTTGGCTACTCTTGCATGCACACGTCCTCCCGCATTTATGAATATGGATTGTGCATCCGCAAGCATTGACACAGAGACAATCTCTGAATCGCTTTACTTTTTATTAAACCTATAAGCACTGATAACCCTAGTTGGCTATACACAGAAATAGTCAAAATGCTATTATTTGAGCAATTTGTATGCCCTCCTTACTGGCGCTCCTGTTTTGTGGTCCATTTCCTGAAAAGGAATCCATTTTTCGCCATTTTTCAGCTTCCTACTATTTTAAGTGACGTTTCAGCGATTCTTTTGACGCCGAAACGCAATGAGCCCTCCCTTTTCGTCCAAGTCGCCAACATTGCGGCTATACACACATGTGTCGATTAGAAGGTTCGGACTCAGCTGCTAATATATGCATAATTTATTGCACTCTTATGTATGTGTCTGTCTATACCTGTACTTTTGACTGCCCATCTTAGATCAACATTTTCAAGCGCCTTATTTGTATTCTGTCTCAGATCTTTATTACTTACCCTTACATGCTGACACTTATACTCCTTCTTCCTTTCCCCCCAACTATCCACCCCCTGGGAACGCACGAGAAAGTTGCATATAAGATTCTGTCTGTAGGAAAGTACCGACCGCTGCATTTCAACGTCGAATTTTTGTCAATTCCTCCCATTCTTCTCTGACTCCTGAGCACATGACTTTAATTCATAGGATGAAGCGGAGACTTCTTGACCTTCTTGGCCAAGTCTTTGGTCAACTATCGAGATTTGATGTCTTTCCCCAAGCTCTAACTGGTTTACGTGTATTTTTAGGGGCATCTTCCTCTCACTGAGCACCCACAGACTGGTTTCTGAGACATTTTGATTTTTCCCCTTTTAAGCTTAGAAAGATTCCCTATTACCTAGCAGAATTCTCATTGGGAGGAGTTTCAATCTGTACTATACTCATTATTTTATTATCATAGACTGTTTCAATCGCATCTGTACTGGCTGAACCCGCCTAAGACTTTCTTCATCTGTCCATTTTACGCCTGCCACTATGAGCCGAGTCTACTTTTGATTTGCATGTATCTGCTTTTGCCCCACCCTATTTCAGCCTCATAACCACTATCTTGTCTCTTCTCCTCGCCATTCTCAACCTTCCGTCCCTTCTCGCGCTTCATTGTCCCTTAGCTATCGGCTTTTTCCTCCGTAATTAGCAGATACATTTCTCTTAAATAACCCACTAAAGCAAGTTTTGCACCCCAACCAAACTTCTCATCATGCCCGCTTGATTCTGATATGATTCAACACCAAACATGAACTAGTTGTCCTGCGTCTTGCATGTATTGGTTGCGTCTAGTCGTCATCAATTTTACTCCCCTTTTGTCCCCTCTTAGCCTAAGCTTACGGCATACCCACATGTTTTTACACACGCGCTTATTCCACCCTTTCCTTTCTTGCATTTCTATTTGCTTTTATTTTGCTCAACTTTACATACTCCTTTGGCCAACTACCATCGTCTTATATACTCCTTAATAACTACTCCATATTTATTTCGAACATGCACGCTATTACACAAATCTCATCCTTTTTCTCATCCATCTTCATCCGTGGCCTCCCTTTATAGTCATATATTTGTTTGCTGCTACTTTTCTGTTGTCAATTAATGCTAAACTCTTGTGTTGTTCTGTTGCCTGTATACTAATTTTTCTGCCTGCCATTTGTGTGTATCTTCGTTTGGTTTGGTTCTCTTCCATTTTACTAAATCCACACTTAACGCTCAATCACCCTTACACAATCTGACATGGCTAAGTCCATTGACATAACAACCCATTGCACACTCGCCCTCCCCTATCTACCATCTGCCTTGCCTCCTCCCTTCCTCCAACTCGTGCCTCATGCATCCACAACAATGCACAACACGCACAACTCATTCACATGCAAAACGCATCTGCATTGGTCCATCTACATATGTTGCATCCTCTACATCACGTTGCTTCATTCGCTGTCTCATGGTGGCCTTCAGGTCGTCCTCGCCTCATCTACAAAGGACGTTGCAAGCCCGCTTCATGCTCTTTTCCTCACGTTGGGTCAATCATACGGGAAACCAAATGCAGAACAAGTTCAAAGACATGGAAAGGCAAGTCTGTGTTGATTATATTGTTATGCTAGTTTTCTCCATAGGACTTGATACCCTATTTTGCCTACTTATTTCTTTCTAAAATTTTACTCATTTTGCTATCTTTATTTTTCTTTAGTTCTTGGTTTATACTCAACTTATAGACGACGCCAGTTTGGGATCATTATTTTGTTCAGGGGTTTATGGATATCTCCTATTTACTCGGTTTTTTATTTATTTTCTATTTTATCCCATTTCTCTTCTCTTGCTCTCTTGTTCCCCCTTTTTTCATCTTCTCTGCCTTTTCTTTTCAACCCACCTCGTTTTTCCGCTTCTGCTGACGTCCTCTTATTTATTTCTCCCACATAAAATTCGCTTGTGTCTTCCCAATCGCCAGATGACATTGGATGGTATTGCCAACTTGCTGGATGTGTCGAAAAGCCTTGAAGACGAATGGACCAAGGGCACTCGAACCTTGTCAAACACTATCGCCACCTGTCGGGAACATGCTAGCCAGCTTGCGGCTGCCTCTCGCACCGGCGTATATCATTCTCCAACAATTCAACAAAGAAATCAGGTAAACTTGCCATGTATATGCGGGCCCGGATGGTGTGGCCTTCTGTTTGGTCACATTCTCCTATATATTTATAATGTTGGTTCGACCTGGTTTTCGCAGCCTGGTCGTAGAGACCTTGATGAACGTACCTAGTCCGGTGTCCCGTGCCAGAGTATTCGTGAATTCAGGCATCGGATCATTGACCTGGTAGATTCTCAAACTTTTCGCCGGCATAGTCAGTGAAAGGTGCCCTCCGTCAGCAGAGTCACAACTTATCAAAGTAACAAATGAAGACAATCCCATTGACCAATTTTCTGTTCAACCTTGAACAAACGAATTGCGAAAAAATGGACATACTTTACTCATTTTCTTTTCTTAGCGCGGTATTTATGTCACCAATTAACCACAATAAATACGAGGAAAAACTCGGTTTCGATTAATCTCCTGACATAACATTGTTGTTGTCGTAGGAAAGTGCATGAAGAAGAGATTCGTAGGTCGATCTCACCAGAAGAGGACGGATAAATCCGGTTGTACTGCAGCCGTTTGGCTTTTATACGATTTTCAGGTTGACGCAGTCTACGAGACCTCCTTCATCGTTTTGGGGGAAAACGAGCTGAGCTTTCGTCCATCATATGATGGACATCATCAGAGCTGGGTCTCATTCCTGTAAAAGTTTCACGTTAACACTAGGGCATGAAGACTTAAACAGTCTCTTTTAGGGCTTTATCTTGGGTCATTAGGCTTTGATGATCAGAGCCTGACATTAGCCTCTGATTTAGGACCGGTATTGCGTATAGACACTAAAACACACATATACACACACGTACACACTCGAGCAAAAGTAGCAGGGCCAGTATGAAAGATAATTAGCCAAACCACTCTATTTGTATCTATCTAGGTTTTTAATTTTATTTTGGCTCAATTGAGTCTATATAAGAGGTAAGATGGAGCCGGATAGTCTTCTTGCCCTAGTGTTAACGTGAACATTTTACAAGAATGACACCCAGCTCTGATGATGTCCATAATTTGATGGACGAAAGCTGAGCCCGTTTTCACACGAAACAAGGGAGGAGGTCTCGTGGACTGTGTCAGCCTGCAGTACAACAGGATTCATCCGTTCTCTTCTGGTGAGATCGACATACGAATCTCTTTTTCACGCACTTTCATACAAAATGAAAGTCCCCTCAACAATAACCACAATAAGACTAACTATAATTTACCTACTCATAGCCTTAAGTGTTTCGGCTATTTTTCCGCACTCTCCCATTGATTCTACTTTCGTCAATTTCACGAACTCACAATTCAAAGACTTATCTTTATATACTCTTAGTCCTTTCACAACAACTCATTTGTCTAAATGTAATGTCGTCGATTGTAACAGCAGATATAATTATCCATTTTTCACTAGTACAAGTGCCTATGCCAGTTTTTTATTTATATTTTATTGGCACATTGTGTGATCAAGAGATTTATTAAATAGAATCTACAATTATTCACTACTCCTTACCCCAAAGCTAACCGATCACTTATCTCTCATCATATTTTTTTTTAATTTTTTATAAGCGATTTTGGTCTGACATTTGCCTCTATAGCATAGGCGAGGACTCTTCGTTATATTACCGGGCTAAATCACCATAATTACCTTTGTTTTCATGGAATTATATCAGGCCTCACAGCATGATTGTGAAATTCTAGTCTAATACCTACATCTGAGTTGACTCATCGCTTTGTCAGTATTCTCTTTCATTCCACAATCTTTCCAAACGAATAGCTTTATTTTTGTACACACCTCATCGCTTCACTAACACCCAGATTCACTACATATTTTCCTTTATTTCTCTTCTCAAATCCTCTTAAATCCGTGTAAGCTAGTCGGTCAAGAGTCCAGGCCTCTATTAATCATCTTTGCTAAACTAACATCTGTCTATTCTCCTTTCTTCCGTAGTTCGGCCATTATATTTATATATACGGTTTTATACTATCACATTTATATTTATCATCTTTTCTATTTGTCATTTTTATGTCAGGGCCTGTGGAATTCAAAGACAACATTACCCTCAACCACTAGCTCGTCTAGCTTGGTGGCGCGCTATCTTGCCCCAGAGGAATTGGCTCGGGTTGTTTCGGGTGGAGCTCTTCAGGTGGCAGTCTCGCGTGTACTTACCGCAGCCAGGTCTCTCCGGTTGGGCGACGTAATCTCGTCAGCCAGCGCCACTCGGTGCGCAGTCATCGAGCTGGCCAGTGCAAGCAAGGTGAGTTCACTCTCAGACTAACGAGTAATCGCTAAATGTATCTGGATCCTTGTCTCAGATGGAAACTTGTTTTTGTCACAATATCTCAACTACTCCTTTTTATTTTCCGGCCTCTCGTTTTGTAGAAAAATTTGTTTAGAAGAGTTTTTTCTTAATTTGTATGACTGCAATCATTAGCAGGTTTGACTTCGATGTATTTTATGCTACTGGACTGTCGGTTGGAGCCTTTGTTAACCTGATTAAGCCATGACGAGTTTTCGCCTGTTATTTTCAAACACTATCCAAACAAGGAACTATGCTTTTTAAAAACCTCTAAAGATCTTTGACAATAAGCCTTATTGGCCAAAAATCCAAACTCCTATCGTCACCCTATTATTGGTATCACTGATTGCATTGCATAACTTGAATAGCTAATTTTTCTTGTCTTCTGTTCGTGTGAAGTAATGTAACTACTGTGGGTGTCGCAGAATATGCCTCACTTCCACAGCGTTCTTGAACTCGATATTCCTCTCTTTACTTTTATAATACGTTTTAGCCACAACATTCTTTATAGTTCTACTTGATTACATATTTTAGGCCTACAATACCCATCTGTTAGAATGAGAGATACAACCAGATCCCTGCTTAGATTTCATTTATTTAAGCAGCTCTAGTCATCTTTCCCTTCCACTTTTTTGCATTACTCGTTCTTTGTAATGAGGGCAATTATTTTTTGGCTCTCTAAATTCTTTTTTTTTGTTTTAAACTTTTTATTCTAGTTTATTCTTTAATCTTACTCTTATTTCTGAGCTACCATGTCTAGGAGTATATTGAGCTTTAGAGCCATTATTTCACTAGCTCTGGACTACTAAGCCTTTGTAGGATAATTTTAGTCCATCTAATTTAAACCGAAAGTTCTCCCCGAGACCGATGCTGTCGCATGAAGATAAAACTTTCTAATAATTTGATATCGTAAAGAAGAAAGATTCTCGAGATGATGGTATAATGGAGTGAAGTATTATCTGCTATAAGCTCTCTTTACGCCCCACTTATTCAACATTTTACCATTTTCCCCAAAAAAAACACAACTGCAATATCGGAGGCCTTTTGAGTTATTGGCATTTCTGTCTTTCCCTGAGGCGCAATTTCCTATCATCCTATTATCAGCAATCAACTAATAAATAAATGCTCCGAGCTGAAAATATTCACTTTCTCCGTTAATTGTCTCAATGAATGCTTCGGCTAAACTCGGAATTTCACGTTTTCCAAAAGCTTAATCTAGTTTATATAATTACGGTCAAAGTAGAAGTTTACAATAAGCTCCAGATTTTTGCTTCTACGACGGACATATTTTACCGGCTGACGATTTTCCAAATTAATTGAGGCGCCAATACAATGGAAATAATTGTTTTTTTAAACATAGTTAATATCTACATTAATCCCAATTTAACCGAGGAACTTATTCAAACTGTCTTTGATACTTTTCAAAATGCCATTACAATCCCTCATATATACATAACTCTATTGTATGCGAGTCAGACGTATTTTGTAATCCTGCGTACTTACAGCTGAGACGTAATTATTTCTAACATTGGAGCCAAACACCATCTCTCAGTCAGTTCTCGTGTCTATCCCTACAACTGGTTATCACAAGGAGAATATACATTCTCTAAGTCGTACTTCATCTTCGCCCATTTAGGCTTACACCTGTCCATGCTCTTAATCAGCTCACTTAAAATCTTAGTCAAGTTTTCAACTCGAATTTTATCTTCCGTTTGAACTGGACTGCTCATGCAGTATATGTGATGCAGAATATGTGATGTAAAGTATTGGCAGCCAAACGCAACATTACATCCTCAAGAATCGAGTCGTGTCTTATTTCATTGAAACACATTCCGACAATCTGGGTTTTTGGTGGGACACCATCTTTCAGAAGTATGTTGGAGAATTCTATAAGAATGAGTTTGTAGTGTCTAATGGGAATGGGTATTTAGCATATTTATGAGAGCACTTTTGGAGCTTCCTATGCTAACACGGATAATCTGCTTAGAAAAGAATGCGAGTGCAATCAGATCAAGATACTCTCATGTTTAGACAACGTAACCTTTTGCTTTTTGAGTCGTTTTCAAAGATTTTAATCCATAAATGGCATTTCATCTTGGATTTATCGTAAGTCATATTCACTTTTGAAAAGACCTTTAATGTACTAACCTTTGCTAAGATGTGTACTCCTTTTTTTGCTAATCTCATTTGCTCGTGTAACTTTTCAGCAATTGAATTCTCTGCAACATTTTCGCACATATTTTCTGTTTATATGCTTTAAGAATATCCCGGCACCTTCTCACCATTTAAAGCTCGAACACGCAGAGCGACCAATAAGTTTGACGGATTATATTTGCCTTTATACGGCTAGCTTATATTGGCTTACAGCCTCGATTGCGTTGATCTCATGTTATGATTTTATCTTTAAAGTCTACTAAAGAGCGGTAGACTCTGTTTAAATAAATTAGTCATCAGACATTTTTCCTACCTGCATTTCTGTGCCTTTTGAATTTTAGGGTGATGCATGTAGATTCTTCTGGGTAACCAAAGCCTATAACACTTGCCCTTCTAGTTTGCCATCTAGCTATCTATATAGCCTGATCCAATTTACTTAGTTTATATGTCTATTTATTCTTTGATATAGCTAAACTTTATCTCTTAATTTCATTTCATATGCGAGGATGGAAATAGCCTATTCCTAATATGTCTCTTGGTGGCTAAAATTCGCACTTCTTAATCGTTCAATTGTTACAAGATTAGGATTTTCGATATTCTGCAGTCAGTAAAGGCTAAACAACCCTTCGTTGATTCCCCTATCATATATGCTTGATGTAGAGTCGCTTGTTCGATAGTTATTTTCCTGTCGACATTGAGCAGAATTGAAGGCTCATGCTCTTAGACCGGCTTGCATGTGAGCATGCATATTGGTCACAAATCTCCTATAAGCCTTAAATACTCAATAACCTCGTGTTTTAAATGACATATTTCTTTAATCAGAAGAAGATGATGTGGCCGAAAGTAATTGAGTGGCTTGTGAATGTGGCGATATGTTATGAGAATTTTGGATATGAGTTCAGAATGGGATCGGAAAGGAAAATTCAACTACCACTCACTCAACGAAATAGCAATAATACACTTAATCTTGAATAGAGTGAGCAAGTTTGCGTTAACTGTTATTAGCCTATCGCTCATCATTTTAACAATATTGTGTGAAATATTTCTTGCATTAAGGTTGCGACAGGGTATAAGCAATTCCTTCGAAAGATCAGCAACTAATTTTGCCCAAACGGTTATACAACCCTTTTTAAAAAATTGTTAAGTTCTACTAGTTATGTGCCAACACACAAACGTTGTGGTTTAGCAGTGAGCCTAACTAAAGCAAGCAGTACCACAACATTTGTGGTTTGGCACACAAGAGACTAGGGCAGAGCAAGTAGTAGACTTGGTATTACGGATAGAAACAGGATAGACGCGGCGGAGACTGGAGCTAATTGGGTGACAGTAGGTCTTACTAGAGACGTGGTTTATCTAGCAAAGGCGTGAACATGAAACTTACTCAGAAACTTTAGCCTCGAATTAGTCTCACAGACGCAAGAGAGGGTGAATAACGCCCCGAGTAGCACAGATGGGGTGGCAGGGGTCGAGTGAAATACGTGAAACG